TGGACATCTCGCCGAATTGCTGCTATCCAACAGGGTTCAGACTCCAGAGTCTTCAGACTCTGGATCTGTGCATCAATATTTAATATTTATTTGTGTTGTCCATTCACCCACCAGGGCTCTAGGTACCACTGCCCTTGTTTAGAACGTCCTCGACGAAGAAGAAAAATGGCAGACTATCACGTGCTCCTCACATGAGACGCAAAAATTTAGATACTGCACGTCCACACCTGCACACAATAGTTCACAACTTGACATACATATTCAGGTGTGCATAAATGTAGAGACTGCAGGTCCCCTATGTCGTTCCGAATGAAGGATGCATAAATAAAAACGTACACGGGTAGCAAAAAAAAGAAAAAAAGAAAAAAAAAGAAAGAAGAGGAACTTGCATACAAAGATGCAAAACAATGATTTCAGGTGTGCTCTTCATTTTTAAGGTTTATTTCACAAAGTGCGCTCTTTTAGTTGACAGGTATCTATAAACTGAAAGAGTGCACTTTGCGAAACAAATGGTTAAAAAAAAAAAAAAAAAAACAGACAAACATGAAGAGCATACTGACAATACGTATTGTCACATAACTATGAACGAACAGAGCGTATGTTGCAAAACAAATGGTAAAGATTAAAAAAAAAAAAAAACAAGACAAAGATGAGAGGCACACTGAAACCATTCATTTTTCTCATTCTTCTTTTAACTCCCCCTTCACCATGCCTCTCACGCACAAGGCTCGCCACGTTGACGAAGTTGAGCGCGAGCTGCCCGCATCCCCGTGTGTCATAACAGCCCACTTGTACGTTGTGAGGAAGAGGCAGAGTAAAGGGGGAGGTGATAAACACAGGGAAGAGAGATGAAGAGAATACAAACAAAGAACGAAAAAGGGAAAGTAAGGGAACATATGGAGAGTGGAATGAAGATGAATGCAAAGGAGAGGATAAGAAAAGGCTCAAGAACAAGTCTGTCCTTGACGACAGAGAGGACGCACATTGTAAGGTATATACACATGGCTGAATCAGTGGCCGGCCAGGCTGTGCCTTAATGCCAGAGATGTGTGAGGAGTGCGTTTTCTGGATGTGAAAAAAGAGACCGCCTTTGTTCTGTCGAGAGCTTACCTGGCTGGCTGCTGACGGTGGTGTGAAACTGGCAGTCTCTGGAGTCTTGCATTTGGGGGTGTCAGAGGGTGGGTGATTGTCTGCTTCGCTTCCGTCACAGACATCCTAGAGGACCATGGTTGGTGCCCCCCTTGGGCTATCAGTGCATATCAGTAGTTGGTGCCCACCTACAAGGCTGCAACCGGGGTTCAGCCAAATAATGACCTAACGGCAACGCGATTATGAGAATCTATGACCATAAAGGGTTCACCCTCTAACGAGTCGGTGCGAATCCAATGAAAAAGTCTGTCACAGCCCCATTCTTTTCGTCCTTTTCTACAGTTCTGACCAAGGGCCTCCGGGTAGTTCACTGACAGTGTGACAAATTGACTATATACAGCCGTGGAACTGCCATTTCGTCAAATGAACCGCCTGGATGTATCTGGTCTCAAGCTAACTCCACATACATCCAGGGGGTCCAGCGTTTTACATATGCCGTACCCTCAGGAGCAGCAAAGTTGGACGAGTTTTCGGCCAAAAAACTCGGTTTCAATTCCGATCAAAAAATAAAAAATGTCCATTTTGACGAAATGGCAGTTCTGGAGGCTTGCTCCCAAGTCACAGCTGTGGTAATGATGGGGCAATATCTGGCAAGCGTTATCCCATTTGAGAGGAGCTTAGTAGCTCCATACACACACACACACACACAAAAAAAAAAAAAAAAAAAAAAAAAAAAAAGAAGAAGAAGAAGAAGAAGAAAAAAAAAAGATAAGAAGGAGCTCCATACACAGCGGAAGAGGAAGGTTGAGTTTTACAAAGGAGGCACTGGACCCAGTTTCCACGTTTGTTCTTCCTTCTCTAACATGGGTAGAGCAGTGGTTAATGCTTTCGAATCTGGAAGTCGTCAATGCTGCTGTCTCAGGTTCTCTCAGCCATACCGGAGGGGGTCGTGGAGTGGGTGAGGTTTTTCTAAAGGACACTGGACCCACTTTCAGCTTTTAACACTAAAGCGATGCTTTAGAGGGCCAAAATAAAGAAAAAGAAAACAGAAAGATGTTTGAGTACGGCAGTAAAATTTGTGCATTCTTCTTTAGTTTCTTATTTCTACTGAAAGGATGAAAATGAACCAATGGGGGGGCATTTATGTTGGAGGAGAGGATGGATGCACACAGGTTGCAAATGTCTTTCTCCCTAGATAAACTAAGTAGATAAACTAAGTACTTACCTCCCTGCATTGATCAGCGCATAAACTAAGTACTCCATAGATCAGCGCATAAACTAAGTCCATAAACTTAACTCCATAAACTAAGAACTTACCTTAGCAAGCAGGCTAAGTCCATAAACTAAGTACTTACCTTAGCAAGCAGGCTACGTNAGCAGGCTAAGTCCATAAACTAAGTACTTACCTTAGCAAGCAGGCTACGTCCATAAACTAAGTACTTACCTTCGCGAGCAGGCTAAAGTCCATAAACTAAGTACTTACCTTAGCAAGCAGGCTACGGCTACGTCCCTAAACTAAGTACTTGCCTTCGCGAGCAGGCTAAGTCCATAAACTAAGTACTTACCTTAGCAAGCAGGCTACGTCCATA